GATAAGAGGGAAGGTCCTCTGATGGATTGGTAACTGGTTAAAAGACAGAAAACAAAGTGTAGGAATAAATGATCAGTTTTCAGAACTGCGAGAGGTAAATAGTGGGGTGATCCAGGGGTCTGTACTGGGCCCAGTCCTATTCAACATATTCATAAATGATCTGGAAAAAGGAGTAAACAGAGAGGTGGCAAAATTTGCAGATGATACAAAACTACTCAAGATAGTTAAGTCCAAAGCAGACTGCGAAGAGTTACTAATGGACCTCACAAAACTGGGTGACTGAGCAACCAAATGGCAGATGAAATTCAATGTTGATAAATGCAAAGCAGTACACATTGGAAAATGTAATCCCAACTATACCTATAAAGTGATGGGGTCTGAATTAGCTGTTACCACTCAAGAGATTTTGGAGCCCTTGTGGATAGTTCTCTGAAACCTTCCACTCAATGTGCAGCAGCTGTCAAAGAAGCTAACAGAATGCTGGGAGTCATTAGGAAAGGGATAGATAATAAGACATGTAACAAGGGGGAGTGTCCTCCCTCCAGACGGACAAAGGGACAACCGCAACTGCCCTGCCAGGAGGACACCCTCTCCCACCCCGCCATAAGCAGGAGGGAGGGACAGGAACCTGAAGTATAAAAGGCAGGCCCTCCAGCTCGGTTGAGGACAAGCCACCAGAGGAGAAGAACATCTTCCATCCACTGCTGGAGCTCAGACCCGACAGTGCCCGTTACAGCGCCAGAGACCCAGAGGGACTGCCAGAGCTGCCAGTTGCCAGAGACACCAAGGAGTTGCTGGGGCTGCCATTAGCTATTTATCCCAGGCAGATGAACGATGACCCTGGGACCCAGGTACCCCAGCCCCAAACGGGAGTGTAGGATGTAGCCCAGGGCAGTGGTTCTCAACCAGGGGTATGTGTACTGGGCGCACCCAGAGGTCTTCCAGGGGGTGCATCAGTTCATCTAGATATTTGCTTAGTTTTCCAACAGGCTACATAAAATGCACTAGCAAAGTCAGTTCAAACTAAAACTTTATACAGACAATGACTTGTTCATAGTGCTTTATATACTGTACACTGAACTGTAAGTACAATATTTATATTCCAATTGATTTATTTTATATTGTATGGTAAAATGAGAAAGGAAGTAATTTTTCGGTAATAGTGTGCTGTGATTCTTTTGTATTTTTATATCTGATTTTGTAAGCAAGTAGTTTTTAAGTGAGGTGTAACTTAGGGATGTGCATGACAAACAGACTCCCGAAAGGGGAACATTAGTCTGGAAAGGTTGAGAGCCACTGGCCCAGGGGAGCTGATTGTAGTTCGGCTGTGTTGTTGACTGACAGCT